TCTTTTCTACACATGCCGCTATCAGCTATCCTGGCTTCATCTGCGACAATTCCCTAAACATTCGTTATCTCCGCTGTATCTAAAACTTCTTCAACATATCACTATCCTTGCTTCATCTCCAACATTTCTCTAAACATACCTTATCTCCGCTGTATCCGAAATAAACATGGTACTATCCCTGTTTCATCTAACATTTTTCCCTCAACATAATACCATCTCCGCTTCATCTAGGAGCATTTATTTGCATTCTTTAGAGGGGGCGTCGCATTCTTCTGTTTTCGCTCTTTTATATATAAGCGACTACCCCCCTAGTTCGTATCTTTGCGGATTTCATTCCACATCGTGTTCACTGTTAACTCTCTATCTTGTTCTTCCGTCGTAACTCGGCTGTTTCTTCTGTACCTGCACCCCTGTGTACTACGATTGAGGGCCTGTAGGACATGCCACGCGCTTCCGGACCAGTAACTCGTTCCCAAACCCGCCTCACACAGGCCAAGGAGGACCCGACAGCGTCTCAAGACCCCGACGAGGAGTCACTCCCTGCGGCACCCAAGTTCACCGAGGAGCTACAGTCCGTCCTGATTGATTTGGGGGACGATGATCCGGTATTGGGGCGGGATGCAAAGGAGCTCCGGGACGCTACCGCTACGGCTGTGACGGAGGTTTGGCATGATGCGCACCTTTCCACGGAATCGTTGGCTCAACAGATCTCAGCCAACAATGTCAGCTTGCTCCGCGAACTGAACACCTCGTTCGCGGCGGTTGGGGAACGCGTCCAGGCGCAACCCATTCTAGCATCCTGTTTCCCCGATGGAGCTTTTCCTAAGCTACAACTTTTCACTGGCAGTAGTGATTCCCCACAGTTCTCTCTTTGGCTCCGCCGCTTCGAGGACGTCTTACGCATGCGTGGAACCCCTTTAACTGAAGAGCAAAAAGCCAACTTCTTGATAGGATATCTAGACGGGGCGGCACGCGAAAAAGTAGATGAACTGCCAGAAATCCAGCGCAAAAGCTACAACACCCTGGTAACCCACTTGCGGTCATTTTTCGAAAGTCCACAGCAAAGGCACCTGGCTCGCCAAGCTCTCTCCACGTGTCAGCAAGGACTATCCGAGTCAACCACAGCCTTCGCGGACCGCCTTCGCAACCTGGTAAGGGCTGCTACCACGGGGCAGGACCCCAACGCCCAGAAAGAACGTATACTGGAGGAGTACCTGGCACGCCTGCGAGGTGACATCCGCTATTTCGTGCGCTTAGACAATCCTACCACCTTCGAGCAGGCGGTCGAGCGCGCTCAGATGGTCGAGCAGCTTCTTGCAGAGGCTGCTGTTGACCGCCTAATGCACCCCGCCACTCATACCGACAACCAACAGGTTCAGGCCCTGTCCGCACAGGTAGCCCGCATGGATTTGGAACCTAACCGGCGTCCACGTTTTCGCACCCCACAGGGGCAATATACCAACCGATTCGCCTCGCGACAGCAAAGGGTTAATAAGCCCAGAGGGACTCCGCGTCCACCACAACAGTACGGCCCTAATAACCGATGTTTCAACTGTGGAGGGCGCGGTCACTTTTCGCGACAATGCCCTTCTCCACGCAATATGAATCCGTCGCAGAACACACCCTTCCGTCCCACGAGGCAACCGGGAGCAAACATGATGACTTTTCTGAATTCAACACCTCCTCCTTCCGACGCCGATCAGAACCCCGCATTGCCCCCAGATAGTGACCACACCGACGCTCAAACAGAAATCTCCAACGCCCGCGCTCGAATTGCTGCACTGCTTAAACGCAACCAGGAATTGTCGCATTCCATGTTCCACCATCAAACTTCCTCCTCTGTTCTTCATTCACCATCTCTTTCTATGTTGACTCCTGGAATTCTTATGCTTCTTTGTGTGGTGACTTTCTCAGCCGGATCTGCCCAAGCATCTACGGCATGGTTGTGCCCTCGCAACCATAGAGATCGGATCATGCACATACCACTCTCATACAATTGTTCTACTATCCTACCACCTTTCAAGGCCACGTTTGAGAGCCTTTCTGTTAACATTTTTCGTCCCAATACAAAACGATATTCCTCCCCAGCATTCTGGTGTAAAATAGTAACGTCGTCAGCATCTTTCTCAGTTAATTTCTTCGGCGCTCGCTCTATCGTCCATTCTGAAACAGTCCAAACAGTAACTATCGAGCAGTGCCGTGTAATGTCCACCCATTACCGCTGCGACCACGGAAACATGATCAATCGCGAGGGTTCGTGGCGCACGCTTAATGAGTTAGTAATAGAGTGGCCTTCCGCTCCCTTCGGCTGCTGTACCCAGCACAAGGTAACCGTCACAAATTGTCTCCTTTTCCCTACCACGGTATATGCCCAACATGGAGATGACCACCCGGATTCCCTGGCAGGTGACATGAGCGCATGCGTATACCACGCTGGTTCCTGTACGCTTCCTGACGGGTCAGCCATCATTTGGACTCCTCAAGCTGAAGAGCGTTGTCAATTTATCCCGGTAGGCAAGATGCGAGGCCAACGGGTCGGCCACGTTTGGCTCAGCGATTCCCGAGAATTCGCCCTGTCATGGACTCAATCCTCGGAACATCTCTTCGACTGCGGGAAGTCACTGTTGCTCACTGACCAGGGCTACGCCATAACTGCACCCAGGCGTTCTGCTCGATCCCTCGTTCCACCGGTAGGTATCGTGACATCCAACCAGCTAGCCGCCCAATTGCTCGCAGTGGAAGGTTCCGCGAAGGCATCTGTGTTCTCACTATTCAGACATACCATCTCAGCCCTGTGTGACCGAGTCAACCTTTTGGGCCTTTCGATCCAGACAGCACTCGCGGCCCAACCTACTGTTGTAGCACGTCGCCTATTCGGCCGCACCGATATCGCAGCGTCTTACTTGGGCAATGGCCTCATACAGATACACAAGTGCATGGCGGTTCCATCTTCTAGTTGGAGTTTTCTCGGATTCAACGACACGTGCTTCGCTCGCCCTCTGGTCGACATACGTCTTCCATCCGGNACATGGACGTCGACACGGCCGTCTTGGAAGAAAAGGCTAATGAAGTGCCATGTTATTCCGTTCCGTACTTCTACATCTTCGACGGGACTCAAGCGGTTCGGCTGGATGCGTTTTCCGGTACGTGTTCCCCGGCATCGTACGAAACGTTTCGTCTCAACTCAATGACGGATTCTACCGCTTTTAACACGTCCTTCCCCTTAACTATCTTTCATAACTTGGTCATTACAAACCTTAGTGAGCTCATGGATGGCCCTCGTCCGCAGGAATTCGGTACGGCACTGGAACAACATCGACTCGCAGAGCACATCGCTGAAGTCCGTAACCGAGCGTCTCTTTCTAGTATCGACCATGCGGCCCCTCCGCTTCCCTGGTCGTTCTTAGGCAGTTGGTCTCCATTTGACATATGGATAGCCGTCTGTGGGATTATAGTCTCCCTACGGGTCTTCAAGTATCTGCTACTCCTCTATCTCGGCGCAAGCCAGCCCACCCGCAATCAGCCATGTACCGCGTCTATTCCCCCTACTACTCTCCCGTTAAGAGAGTACCCGCAACCAAAATCACGTTCGCTCACTCCAAAACGGGATTCCCAGTCGGATCAGTCCAGCTCTCGGTTGAGCAAAATCGTTATTGATTCCCAGTCGGTTTGGCCCCCGCGGGCCTTGTTAGCACCGCTCCACGTGTTGACGTTCAACACCGCCAGCGCCTTCTTTGTGACACAAATCCCCATTAAGGTCAACGGGATTGAGATGCTAGCATTAGTGGATACCGGGGCGGCGATCACTGTATGCAGCCGCAGCATCATGGATCTTCTTGGCGTATTCACATTACGCCCCTCTCCGATTCGCACGGCCGTAGGCATGGCGGGGGTGCCCGTTCCGCTGGTAGGCACAGCTCAACTACATTTCATAATAGGGTCCACAGCCTTGACGCACGTGGTCTACTTCACTGAAGGCTCATGCATCCCTCGTCAGGTCGACAAGTATAACATCGTAATGGGGAACGACCTCCTTTCTCGCATTCCGTCTTGGCATATCAACTATCGCCAAAGGCGCTTCACAGTAGGGCAGGACACTATTCCAATACTCACTTGCAGCCCACATCCCTGCCAGATCGACATGCCACACGACGTAACTGTAGTCCGCGCCGCACAGACTTCAATTCTCCCTCCGCGGTCGGAGACCTTTGTGCACTGCTACGTTTCTACTCCCAGGAAGGACCCTTTGATGATGATTACGCAGTCGCCAGCACTATATGATAAACACCTCTTCGTTACACCCGCTGTTTTCCGATCCGGGCACGCGCTAATTTTGGCCGCTAACCCCACTTCGAGACCTGAAGTTCTCTACCGCCAACAGCAGGTGGGAGCGGCGATCCACCTAACTACAGATGAATCTGGATGCCTAGTCGAGGAGTCACTTAGTGCGAACGGTTCCGAAAAGGAGACAAACCCCTTAATCGCGGTCACTGACCATGATACCTCAGTTCATGACGATCCCCCTAACGTTGACCTCTCCAAGTGTGAGGTCAGTGACAAAGAGAGGGACCAGCTGCGAAGCCTATTTTTGGAGTACCAGGATCGCATTTCACATTCTAGTTACGACCTTGGGTCGTACACCCATACCTTGGTTAATATAAAGACTACCACCTCTTCTCCACCCACGCGTTTTCGCCCACCTCGAATCCCGGTCAAGTTTCAGAAAGAACTCGACGAGCACATTAACAAGCTCCTTAAGGCCGGCCGCATAGCTGAGAGCGACACACCGTGGGTACACAACACGGTTTTGGTTAAGAAACGGGATGGCTCCCTACGGGTCTGTCTTGACTTCCGCCCATTGAACGAGGTCACCATTCCCGACCACTACCCGCTACCCCGCATTGAGGATTTATTAGTTAAGGTAGCAGGGAACCGGTACTATACTACATTGGATTTGGCATCGGGTTACATGCAGTTGCGCATGTCCCCTCAAAGCCAGGAGAAGTGCGGCTGGGCAACCCACCGAGGTATATACCAGTTCGTATACCTGCCGTTTGGCCTGCGAAATGCAGGAGCGTATTTTTGTAGGGCAATGGCTCGCATACTCTCGGGACTGGA